CTACAGTCCTGCCCAGCCATGAATAAGAACCAACCACTGACCCAGGCCACAGCACCATGGTCTCCAAACACAACACTGAACACAGACAACGGGACCCAGAAGGGCGTCCACATACAGGCCAATCCCACCAAGTTCCAGGAGCTCCAGCCACCACGGCTGCCTTTCCATGTGGGGCCCAGGGGAGGTGGGCCAAAGGGACAGCAATAAAGGAGGCTCCGGGTCTGGCTGTGAGCAGTGGCCGCTCGAAATTGTCAAAAATCATCCGCTGGATGCTTACGACCTATGCAATCTACAGTATCTTGATTATAYCTCAGTCAAAACAATAAGTGGGGAGGGGGAGACAAAATCCACCTTCCCTCCACCCACCCCTCCCTCCGCCCTCCTGTAAAGTGAGTGAATTTACGTCCTGTGCTGCGGCCGGCAGGGTTTGGTCTAAAATTGCTTTAGGTGTTTTCTGAAATGCAATGTACAGAGAGGCCCGTGTGCAGGGCAGAACTGCGGTGAGTCATGGCTGGAGAGGTTCCGGAAGGTTCTCTTGGGACGGGGAGTCTGAGCCTGCGGACATCCCTCCCTGTCTCATGGCTGCCTTTCCTCCCCGCTCCCCTAGGCGACATGCAGAGCTTGCCTTCCTCTCATCTTCTCGATATTCTGGAGGCTTCTCTGTGCGCCAGGCCCTGCAAACACCTGGCCCAGCCTGTATGTGGGGAGACTGCCGAGGAACCTGGGTTGTCGAGCACAGAGGGACCCAAGCCCGAGGGTGGGTAGGACACTTTCCCCATGCGGGCGGGCGGGGCTGCCTGACCGTGCCCTTGATAAGGGACTGAAGGCTGGAGGGGAGGGCTCTGGGTCAGCAGTTCTCAACTTGGCCCTACATGAGACTTATCAGGGGACCCCTGAAAGCCTCCATGCCCAGGCTGCCCCCCACAAACAGAATCAGGGTCTCCAGCGTGGGCCCCTGGCACCAGTCATTTTATATCTATCTATAAGGTCAATATAAAACAGGATCACAACAGGTAGGACTCACAGAGAGGGTTAGATGGGTAGAGATGTCCCACAGGTGATTCTAAGGTACAGACAAGGTTGAGGACCTGTGTCCTGGGTGGAGGTGACGGCCAGGAGTCAGCAGAGAGAGACCCCAGTGCCTGAGACCTGAGGAGGGGACGGAGGGGAGTCGAGAAACGTGTCCAGGAGAGGTGGCAGCTGGAGTGCCCCCACCCGAGCCTCACGTCCATCTGACAACTTACGTGGAACAGGGTCCTGGCAGACATAACCAGGGCAAGATGGGTCGGAAACCATCCAGCATGGGGTGGGCCTGAATCCAGTGACAGTGTCCCAGAAAGGACACAGGGTAAGCCAGGAGAAGGCGGGGCACACCAAGGGGCACCGCGGGCCGGGCAGCGGGGAGGGCTGCCTGGGACAGCTCCCTTGGGGGCCCCAACGCAGCCAACCTGTGGCCCTCGACTTCAGGCCTCTGCCTCTGGGCCCAGGACAGAATAAACGCCTCATGTTTAAGCGGCCAGCGGCCGCTGCCCAGGAAGCCTGGGAATCGGATCCGGGGAGGCAGGGCCTGCTGGGCCAACAGAGAGCAGGAGCTGAAGCTGGGACCACAGAGAGCCAGGGAAAGGGCCTGGGCACGGGAGGCAGGCGGCTGAGCTGGCCAGGAGGGCCACAGGAGGGAGGCTTGCTGTGGGCAGGACACCAGCGGCTCCCTGACTTCTGCCCCGGAGAAGTGGGGGTGGGGCGGCACTCAGAGGATGGCAGCCTGCAAGGTGCCACCGTCTGGGTGGGACTATGGCAGGGGTTGGGGAGCAGGGGGGTAGCCCCCAGCAACACCGCAGACCAGTGTGCAAGGTGGGGCTGGACCTCGGGCGGGCTGCAGTGGGAGCTAAGAGAAGGAAACCGCACTCTGCACAGCCAGACCTTTCCCCGAGCCTGGCTCCAGGAGCTGGTTCATGTTTCTTCTCAAATCTGGGAACTCACCCTTGTTTCCCGAGAGGGCACACAAAAGGCAACTTCCAAGTCGACAAGTCAACCTTGCAAGTAAGTGCCGGCCCACTCCGTTTCCTACCACGTCATCCTCTCCAACAGGCACACACCAAGCCAACTGGCCAGTGATGACCTACTGCACACCGACTGTGCCAGCACGTCACTCACACACTGTCACTGGACATTGATTGACTGTATCCCTACAGATTACAGCAACCCGGTCAGTCAGTAAGCATTTACGGAACTACCAGACACTGGGCCAGGAACACGGAACCAAGAAGCAAAGAAAAATGGCCAAGATTCTGGGTGAGAGGGACAGTGGCAAACAGGTAGCCCAGGGTGGTATGACGAGAAAGGGTGGAGTTATGAGAAAGCTCAAAGCAGCAGGTATTTCACAGAACTAGAAAGTTGGAGATTTGGCTTTGCCACCTACAGAGAGAAAATGGGTGAATCACTTTACCAAGAAAGTCTCAGTTTCCTTATCCGTCAGAACCAGGCGGGTGAATCTAGTGCTTTTTAAAAAGAAAAGAAAAGAAAGCACATTTTCAAGCTTCAGACAATTTCCTAAGGCCCCGTTGACCTTGTAGGAGGAGGAGTATGACCTTAGGTGGAGGAGGAGTATGGTTTAATAATGATCCTTAAAGACTTGGACTGACGCCAGATAAGTTGACGTGAGGAGCAGAGAGGGGACGCGGGCTTCGGCAGGTGGCCCTGCTCAGGCCAGAAAGTGAAGACCTTATCTGCTCACGATGTCCCAGATCATTGGGGAAGCACCTGCATCACCTCCCCACAGCACCCTCAGGTGGGGTGCATCCCAGGGCAGGGTGTGGCAGCCTGGAGACCACAGTTGGTGAGGGGAAGTCTGCATTCCTACGTGTCAAGGTCTCCACACACGTCCCCTGGTATCTGCTGTGGGGCCCTAACTCTCCCAGCTCAGAATACAAACACCACCAGCTTGGCCCCCCAAGAGGCAGCAAGAAAGCAGAGCACCCCTCCACCCAAGACCTACCAAGGCCAAGCAACGGCTGCTCTCCTAGAGAAGGGGCCGCCCTGCCTGCTGCTGGCTTCTCACCCCGAGGGCCAGTCTTCCTCAGCCCTTCCTGTGTGAAACAGTGCTGCTTTCCCATCGCTCATCTGCAGCTCAAGACTACCTCGGATTAACAGAAGCCACTCGCAGGCTTTGCCTGAGCCTCAGAGTATTTTAAATTCGTTGCCATTTTTAATCAATTCATATGAGTGTGCTAGAGACGGAACCCAGGGCCTGGTGCATGCTGACCACAAGCTCCACCACCAAGGAACACCCCGGCCCCGTCGCCATCTTTAAAACACCCAGAGCTGTGCTGTTGTGCACAGGAGGCTGAGGCAGGAGGATTGCGAGTTCAAAGCCAGCCTCGACAACTTAGGGAGGCCCTAAGCAACTTAGTGAGACCTTGTCTCAAAATAAAAAAATAAAAAAGGCTGGGGATGTAGCTCAGTGGTAAAGCACCCCTGGGTTAAATCTCTAGTACCAAAAAATAAAATATAAATAAAACACCAGGAGACTTTGGTTTAGGTTTTACAGTTCAAATATCTGGCCACACTGAGTCCACGTTCCCATGGGAGAATCCTGCTGGAGCTGGGGAAGAGCAGCCCAGGAGGGGGAAAGTGCCACTGATCCCCAATCTCTCTAGCCCTCTGGGTGCCGCCCAACCCTCTTCTGTTTCTACCACCTCCCCTGCCTCTGTAGGAAACTGATGTCGTGATACCTATTTGTGGAAAAATGTCCAATAAAAAAAATTCAGAAACAACACGGAACATGATCACAACAACGTGAAAGGTTCCTTTTCATGGAACCCAGGGGAGCTTCACCACTCAGCCACACCCCAGCCCCTTTATAATATTTTATTTAGAGACAGGGTCTCACTGAGTTGCTGAGGCTGGCTCTGAACTCGCAATCCTCCTGCCTCAGCCTCCCAAGTCGCTGTGATTATAGGCGTGCGCCACCACGCCCCGCACAACACAGAAGATTCTTCAGGAAAGACTAAAAATATTATCTAAACAATTTTTTTTTCTGAAACAGCATTCTTTTTTCCTTCTTTGTGCTTTTGGAAATAATGGTAAGCTTTCAGGAGCACAGCAGAGGGTGAGCTTCCTGAAGTCCTCCTGCTAATTCCTCAGAGAAAGCTCAGGGCAGCCCTGAAGCTGAGAGGCCGAGCTGGACTCCCTGACCCGTGTCCTTCCAGATGGCACCTCTCGGCCATCTCGTGCTGCATGCTGGGGGTGTCCTGCCACTTCAGACTGTTGGCAGGAGGCCTTTATCCCCGCCAAGCGAGAGCTGGTGGAAAGCAGGGAAAGTGGCCGGCTCCCTGGGGCGGCCCAGCACCTGCCACCAGATAGTCCTCAGGAAAGCCACAGCAGGGGCGGGAGGGGACAGAGCTCAGCTCCTCGGGCAGCAGATCCCAGCCCTGCCGCCCTCTGGCCGGGTGGGCTGGCTGCTGACCCCTCAGCCGCCCTCCTCATCTGTAAAATGGGACAGCGACAGAGGCCAGGGCCAAGGACTGCTGTGTCCCGTGAGCCGCTGGGAGTGCAGGGCTCAGCAGGGTGACTGGCAGCAGCAGAGCCCGGGGACACCAGCGCTGTCCTGTAGCTGATGTTCCCGCTGGAAGGGCAGAGGAGGAGAAGGAGAAGGGGACACCGCGTCCAGGGCCCTCACGCCAACCACATGGGCCCTTTCTAGCACCACAACAGCATTTATATGTTCTGAATCCTCCGAACAACGCCACGGCTCCCCATCATCTGTACTATTTTTTAATTTCCTGTGAGGCCACAAAACCCTCCGCAAGTAAACAGAAGCAGAGATAAAAACCTGGCTCGCTCCCTGTCCCGGCCCTGGGTCATCGTGGACCCACCGTTAACCCTCGTGGCCCTGTGCGGCCCAGCAGGCCTCCCGGGTCCCCTGCCAGGTGCCCTGCCCAGGGTGGACGCTGGCGTACCCCGGTTTCCACGGACAGGCCCCGCCCGGGGCCCCCACTTACAGCACTCGATGGGATTGGACGCCGTCTGCAGGGAGACGATGCGACCGCTGGCCTCGGGGATGTGCACGCGGAACACCAGGCGCACACGCGTGTTCTTCCTGCCGATGTCCGTCTCGCCCTTGCGCAGCTCAATGTCGGCATTGCGCAGCTTCAGGATCCCCGCGCAGTCGATGCTGCAGGAGTGGACAGCCCGGTTGACAACCCCGAGACTTGGGGAACAGGAGGGGTCACCCACCAAACCACCTTCCGCAGCTCTCTGATACACCGGTGCCGCTGGCCGCCGGGGACAGGCCCTGCCACACACACACGGGACCTCAGCCGGAATGTGCCCCAAGATGTGGCTGAAGGAGAAGGCTTAGGACGTAAGAGAAATTCCCCAGGGAAACGACTTGCCTAAGGGACCTTCTCACACCGACTCTGCTACTCTCAAAAGTATCTGAAAAACCCAAATATGCCATTGGCCAAGGTGAGGGCGGTGCCGGGTAGGGTCTCCTCCCTTGAACTTGACCATGTGCCGGGCTGTGTAAGAGCACCTTTGTTGTTAGGTGAGGCCCACTGAGGTATTTAAAAGGCCTAAAACCTGCAATTAAGTCTCAAAACAGCTCAGGGAGGGAGGACTGGAAAGGAAGGGATATATTTAGGAAAAAGTTAACAATCGCTCCATCTCAGTGACCGTCTCTCGGGAGTTCCCTGCCTCTTTCTTGCCGTTCTCCTATGTGTGAGTCTATTTTCTCATGAGAAGATGGGTTAGTCCAGGCGTGTGCGGCCTGTCCCTCTCTACACCACAGGACACTGGCCTCGGAGCTGGGCCCTCTGCGTTGCTGCCTGGTAAGTTCTTTAAGCCAAATACATTTTTTAAAATGGACATAAACTAAACCTCCCCCCAAATCCTGTAACCCAGAGATTCATGAGTCCCTCCCAAGACCCAGGAAAGCATCCACATGGAACACTTTAAACCTGGAAATCAGCGTGGGTCTTCCACAGACTGGGAACTGACAGAAACGGCAGAGGACACAGGACCCTCCACGATGAACGGAAGCAGAGATAAGACCCTGGCATGTCCCCTGTCCTGGCCCCTGGGCCACCTCGGACCAGCTGTTTATCCTGTGGCCCTGTGTATTCCTGAAGGCCACCCAGGTCCCCTGCCAGGTGCCCTCCCAGGGTGGACGCTCCCCATTTTCCAAGGACAGGCCCCGCCCACCGCTGCACCTTCAGCACCTCCACAGTCCGCCTCCTGGCCCCGCGGCTTCCCACCCAGAGCCACGGCGCCTGGCGTTGCCGCCCTTACGTTGCCCGCATGTTGTTCTTGGGCTCCAGGGGGATCTCCAGGACCTTGGTGTTGCCCACGATCTTTTCATAGCTGGTGGTGGTGACGGTCTTCCCCGTGATCCGGTGCACCTGGTAGAAGGCGTGCGGCTTGAGGATCCGCTCGTCGGCCGTCCCAATGAAGATCTGGAGCCCCAGCGGCTTGTTCTCCATGTAGCCGTGCAGCTGCGGGGAGAAAACGGGATCGTGAATGTGCAGGTGGCCGTGGCCCCGGTCTGACAACCAGAAAAGCTCCGGCACAGCAGAGGGAACCCGGGAGGGCTGCAGGGTCACCATGGACGGAGACCCAGAGCCACCCGGTGCCCATCCGGAGGGGACCGCCCACGGGAATCACAGGCATCCCCTCAACGCGGAATGCCCAGGAGCCTCAAGAAAGGATGCACTAGATGAGCAGCACAGTCCCCGAGACAGGCTGGCACTGAACGCAGCCAGCGATGGGCTGTGGGCAGCGTGGCCTCACAGCGGGCACAGAAAGAACCCGGGCGGGAGCAGCCCTTGACACGGCTGCCGGCAATCAGGAGAAAGGCCGTGGGCGCCACTTCTCCCGGCTTTTCCCACCTCCTCCTCCTTCCCCGAACTCAACCCAACACACTCTCTTTTCTTGATTTTTTTTTTTTTGACCTCAGTCTTCTTCCCACAGATAAACTGCCATCCGTGAGACAGGAATGTTTTCTGTTTGGCTGCACACAAAGATCCCTAGCACTTAGAATACTGCGTGGTACACAGTAGGCACCCTAGGACGCGTGTGCTGGATGAAGTAATAAAAACTGCGCGACAGAAACACGGCCAGGAATCAGTCCACAGGGAAGCAGCCACCGGCAGGAGAGAGGGTCTGTGTGGCTGTAAACAGGCGCAGATCCAGCCTCCACAGGACACCACCTGTCCCCTCTTGGAATGGCATACACAGAGGTACTTGGCAACGTGGAGAGCTTGGGAGACTGTGGAGGAACAGGTGGGCTCGTGTAGCTGATAGAAGTATGACCCAGCCTAACTACCATCCTGAGCGCTGAACAGCAGCTGCCAATAAGAACACAGATTTAAAAACAGCCACTCTCCGACCCAGTAACCATGAACCTCAGCATGCACCCTACAGCAGCACCGTGCATGCAGATGAATAAAAAAAAAAATGTTTGCTAAAACAAATAGAATAATGAACAATTAGTTTTATCAATAGGCTGGATTGAGATGACAGGCAATGAAGAACACACAACGGTTTGAAAAAAAAAATCATTCTTCATTATTCATCATAGGTAGATCTATGAAGTGACCCAGAAAGATCCAGCATACCTTGTTGAAAGAAAGAAAAACCATGTGTCAAAACCTACAACTTATAAAACAATGCAGAACGTTTTCCGATCATCCACTTCTACTTATGCCATAGAAAAAGGTATGGAAGGATGCGCTCCAAACTGACCACACCATGACCACGTCCAGCAGATGGAGGAGGAGCTCAGGATTGAGAAGGAGGTCAGAGGAGACTTCGACATCATGCACATGATATAGGAAGAGTGTTCTGCTGAAAACTGGGGAAATTTAATATTAGTTTTAAATACCCAGGTCAAGAATGATGATCTTCCAGTCTGATGAAGAGTTCCTGCCACTCACAGCAGAGGAAGCCGGGCCACTCAAGTCACCCTCTCCTGCCTCCAGTCCTTTCTCTGCCAACTGAAGGGCTGTTTGACAAGTGACAGCTCCCTAAGATCCCACTCTTCTTCCAAGTTCCAGGAAACTCAGCAGGATCTCCAGTCACAGGTTAAAAAACAAAGAGAGCCGCCAAGGCCGTGGGTGACTTCCCACGTCTAGCACTGTGCTGCCCAACCCAGGAGCCACTAGCTACACACACGCTAATTAAAATCAAACAAGATTTCCCAGCTCGGTGGCACAGGCCTGGGATCCCAGCTCTTCTGGAGGCTGAGGCAGCAGGATCACAAGCTCAAGGTCAACCTGAGCAAGATCCTGTCTTCAACTTAAAAAAAAGCCTGGGGATATAGCTGAATGGTAGAGTGCCCCTGGGTTTGATTCCTAGCACTGAAAACAAAACAAAAAACCCTCTTTTTTAATTACAAAATTAAACAAAATTGGAAATCCAGTGTCCGGGTCCCACTAGCCACATTTCAAGGGCTCGCCCACCACGACCCTCGTGGACAGCAGGAATACAGAACATCTCCGTCATCACAGAAGTTCTCCTGGACCCTGGCCAGTCTGGACAGACGGAGTCCTTTCATCCTCCTCTTTATTGTGTCCCGGCCGGGAGAGGCGCAGAGACGGGCGATAAGGAATGAGGCCCGTCTCCATCTGCCGCTGCCACCCACCACATTGACACAAGTGTCCGACACCCGCCCAGGAGGCCCGGGAAGATGAAAGTCCAGGGAGAAGCCCCTAATCTGAAGACCAGGTGGCAGAAATCAAAAGGAAGGAGGGTAGCGCTGAAGAGATTTTGTTTTGTTTTTCCTGCCTTTCATTCGAACCCAAGATAAATATGTTTGCTCATCTCTTCCACTTGATTTATCAGGAGTGGGAAACGTGGGCTCGCACGGGAAGAAAAGCAGGCGGGACGGCGGGGCCCGGCGGTTCTGGGCTGCCTCCTGCTCCCTGCCAAGGGCAGGCAGCGTGCTGGGCGGACGCCTGGAAGACGGCCAGGGAGCACCTGGAGATAAACCTGTCACGTCCGTGGCCCTGAGTCCAGCTGCTTCTGTTTCCTCTTCTGTTGGCACACCAGCCCAAGCCACCACATCCGTGGGGGACCATCAACGCCCAGCTTACCTCCTGCCGTATTCATAGGGCAGCTCRATGTTCTTTTTAAAAATGCAAATCAGATCCAAGCATTTCCCTGGTTAACCCTCCAAAAACTCCCTGCGGCCTTAGAATAAAACCCAAACTCAGTGGTGGCCTGCCTCTGTCTCCTCCATCCTCCATCCTGCTGGACTCCGTGGACACCAGCCCTCCTTTGGTTCCCTGGACAAACCCAGCCCTTTCTGACCTCAGGGCCTTTGCACAAGCCACTGTCTCTGCCTGGATAACTCTTCCGCTGTGCATTTAGTTTTCAGATCTTCAGCTCTTTCCCAAACCACATTATTTGGGTGTACCCAATGCCAGAGCCAGCTCTTTCAACCTTGCAAGAATCAAGTGTCCAATGTTTAGCAATTGAAGAGCCAGCGGACATCCCTTGGATCACTTAGYACCGACATTCCCAGCCAGGATGGTAATATTTCCACCACAAAAATTAGCAACCGCTTCAAAGCAGGGCTTTTTCCTGGAGAACTGAAGGAAGGCTTTGCTTCGTCACCATCTGAAGTGTTCCCCGTCTGCCGGGCTGCTCCCTTGCTCAGTGCCCTCCCGTCCACCTGAACACGAGCTCTCCGCACCAACRGGAACCTCAGTCACGGCGTCCGAGGATGGCCCCTGACATCTGCAGAAGGAACGCTCGCCGTCGGCCTCACAGCTCATGGAGAGGGGCGCGTGGCCCTTCACCGGCTTCTCACAGAGCTGAACCATCCGGGCTTTGCAAACACAGGGCTTGAGATGGCGCGCTCTGACCTCAAGGTCCCACCTCCTTGACCCCGCAGCAGGGAGACCTCGGCCTTTCCCCGCTGCTGCCAAGGTGAGGTCTCCTGGATGGGTCACTCCAGGCCTGTCGGTCAGTCTCCTGCTGGGAGGTGGCAGCTGCGTGGCCTCCAAGTGGAAGAGGAGCCACTTCCTGCAGCTGAGAGGAGAGCCGGGGCGTCTGCTGCTTAGGAGTTCGGGGAAGAAGGGRTGCTCCCAGGCTCGGAGGGGCGCCCCACGCTGCAGCGCCCCGGAACCCGCATGCTTCAGACTTCCACCCGCGGCTGCGTTGACGCTCCGCTCCCCCGTTGCTGGCTGGGCTACGTCACCTCAGCTCGGGGAAGGCCGTGGGGTGAGTCCCGACCCCCTGCCCGTTCCCCGGAGCCAGTTCATAAACGACGCCTTCCTCCGCGCACCGTCCCATGGGAAGGCTTTTCTACGAATTCAGATGCCCGCGGCCACGGCGGACCCCGTAACCATGCTCAGCCGTGAGCAGCCTCTCCCTGGGCAGGTGACAGCGAGGTCCAGTCGCTGGCCACCACCCCACCGCTCCCAGGCACTCGGGTGACAGCCTCACTGTCAGGCTTGCACCGTGTCCAGCGGAAAGAGGCCACGTGCCCCGGAGCCGGCGCTCTGTGGGTTTAGGCAGGCTGGTCCCTGTCCCCAGGCAGGCAGGAGGAGGCGACCCCAGGTGTGTCCCGTCTCCGTCACCCACAGTACGGAGAGTCCACCGCTCACTCCCGCCCTAAACCCCAGCACTGCCCAGGCCTCCCGGCRGGGATCCGTCCGATGCAAGGACAGACCCCTCAGTGCTGCAGTCTCCGTCCCTCTCCCCTGTTACCAAGGTAAGAACGGTCCACTCACCGCCGAAAACAGAGACGCCCAAATCCAAAAACACCGCCTTTGAAACGAGGGGCACCTTCACGTACCTCCTCCGGACTCCTCCTGTTCACCCCCAGTTCTTGTTCAGCTTCCTTCTACATATTGTGATCACCCTGATGATGGTGTCAACGCACACTGGGTGCAGCGTGGGAGTTGGCGTTGACACGGCACAACGACCAGATCCAGCTGAGTCTCAGGCGACGGCTCTGCCTGCTCAGTTTTACTCGGCAAATACTTGAAACCTACCTTGAGCCATTTGGAAACACAGGACGGGTGGCTGGCCGCGGTGCCCGTCCTGTGGGTCGCTGCAGCGCCTCCCCTGGCCCTGCCCCATCCCTCCCCGGGCCTCTCTTCTGGGCGCAGACGTGCACCTCTGGGCTCCTTCCTTCCACTTCTCCTCCTTCATGGTGAAGTGTGGCCACCTCCCTGCCACTAAATCTCATCCCAGGAGACAACCTCACGGGGCTCCTTGCCAACGATGGCCACATCCACCCAGGCCGAGGACACCCTCATGGGAAGGCGTGACCCGGGCTGCCTGGTGCTGTCCCTGCGGGGTCCTGGGCTGCCTGGGCACGGGGCCTGCTGCCGCCTCTGGCCAGCACCCAGAGGATCAGCCCACGATCACGGCCGGGAAAGAGGGAGACCGAGAATGGCGCCGCCCGCCCTCGMAGGCCGGGAGCTCCCGACTGGGCCGCTCACGCCCGAAACGTGGGATTCATTTACCAGATGGCAGCCGGCCA